ATTAATATTATATTCCAAAATTCTCCTTTGTGGAAGGAAATATAAAAAAGGAGGAGAGGAGTTACGGCTTTCTCTCGAGCACCACCTCCAAAGGAAGCAACAGATTCAGCATGTGTACGCAACCTCTCGTGCATGGAGTCAAATACCACCTGGATCAGCATTTTCCAGCAATCTGGCAGGGCATTTGAGTTGGCAAGGTCTGAATTTGTTGGTGCACAGCAAGAATTAACAGTTGGTAGCCTTAATGTATGACACTACATTGTTCTGATGCCAGAGTTATGTCAAGAACATTAGGAGAGAAAATCTTTAAACGAATTTGCTTGTCAGAAACCAAATATAAGCCTGTGATGATTTTAAAATATTTAAATTAGTCTAATTTCCTATAGTTATTTAAAAGGGGAGAGTGAACAGTTAGACATATGTCTAAATTTGGTCCCTTTAATACATGATGTAGTAAGTAACTTAATCTAGTAAGCTATATCAGTTTTCTTTTTGACTTTTTGAGTTAATGCAGAAAGAACATAGGAAACAGAAACATACAGATGCTATGATGTTGACACCACTTTCTTCATCTGGATCTTCCATTAACTTTTTAATGGAGGGAATTTCCTCAAGAATATGAATATAAGTGTCCCCACCACCAGGCACAATACCCTCATCCATGGCTACATACGTGGCATTTTTTGCATCCTCAATTCTTAGCTTTCGATCTTCTAATTCCATCTCAGTGTGGGCCCTTACCTATAACCAAAATTCTTTCAATTCATTCTATATACATTATTTTAGTCATAATTAATAAATAAACTGACCTTGATAATGGCAACACTACCAAGAGTTTTGCAATTCGTTCATCGAGCTTTTTAGAAGGATAAGAACTATTTGTTTCAGAAAGATCTTTCTTTATTTGTGAAATTCTTGCTTTGATTTCAGCTTTCGTGGATGGATCAGCTACATATGGATAGTTACCTTATCATGTTAGATCAATATAAATCCGATTTTATGATATATATATGACTATATTCTTGATCAAATTAAAGATAATTATCAATTAATAAGATAATTGTTTCCTTATAAGATAATTGATTAATTATTGATAAATTGTTTTGCAAGAAATCATTAAACAAATCAAATATGGATAATTATGTAATTAAATGTTAGTTTAGATTATTTGTTATTTGATCCTTGTTGTTATGAAAAGTTTCATATTTTCCCCTTTAGGTTTTATAGTTTAAATTTGAACCCAAAAGTTTTGAGGTTTTGAAATTTAAATAGTTAAAACCCTAATGTTTTGAAATGTTTCAAAACTTGCCCTCAAGTTTTGGAATTTAAAAGTTGATTAAAAGTTTAATTAGGAATGTTAAATTCTAAAACCCTAGTAATGTTTTGAAAAGTTCAAATCACACCCTTATGGTTTTATTAATTAATTAAGGAGTATAATTAAAAGAGGTTTAATAAATCCATAAAAGTTTAGGTTAACCGTTTAATTGAATTAAAAGTGTAATTGTTAAAGTTAACCATATAGTATTTTAAAAGTATAAAATACATCCTATACTATATATAACATTAAAAGTATAACATTATATATGTATGAGTAAAAGTCAGTCTTACCGTTAGTAGGCCTCATTCACGAAGCTGGTCTGTAAGGGGTGTTTAAGGAAATTGCCTATAAAATGGCGATTGAATGGGTATCCACTCTTACCCACCGCACTCTTGACTAGTGGAGGGTCGTTAGCCGAACGGGTAGGATATGACGAAACCTTCCATTATAAGTATAATGAAATACAAAGTAACTAATGTTTTTCAAATTCCCAATTTTAGTTACTTAGGCAAAAGTGAATTGATGCAATTCCATGAAATTACACTTTGTGCCCTTGCGAAGACGTTAGTGGAGCGTGTGTGGTTTACCGGCACACTAAATGGTTCTAAGCAAAGGTAGCAAAGGGTGACTCAATGTTTGTCATAGTTCGGTGGAGCGTGTGTGGTTTACCGGCACATCGAATAGGTGATTGTAACATGTGAGGGCACCATGTAGTTTGCATGGTTATTCACACCCGCTTTGTGATCCTCGGCATCCCAGTCACAAACAAGAGGGGCATATCGAGATTTAAACATGCCATTGAAATATTCAATGAATCTCAAAGGATCTAGGAGTTTTCATAGATTTAAAACTTAAATTTTTTTCGTTTTTCATGGTGGAAATTAGTGAATCGTCATTCACTTACCTTCAAATGTTCTTCAATTTGGGTTACGGCATCCCTCTCCCGAGTTGTAGAATATTGTGTTGGGTCCTAGCCTTAGTATTTCATTTGGGTGATTTACTAAGGACTCAATCAATCAACTAACTTGAATTCGTTTTTCTCCCGATGTCAAAGTTCGACAACTATGGTCTTCTCAAATCCCGTGGAACAAGCATTCCACATGAAGATGATATTCCACGATTCGATCGAGGAACAAGAAATCATGCTTCACTTCCTCCTCCTCCTCCAATTATTCTCCCTAACCCACAAGATTGTAAAATTGAAAGGTTCAGTATCACTCAAGCCCTTTTGGCAAGTAAACATAAAGAGGAAGTCGGTGTGTGCACACGTCTTAGGGATGAAGTCACACATTGATAAGTTAAGAATGATGGGATCCGTTGTCGTGAAGAGATGGCTGTTGATTGGGTTCTTCAATCACTTCCTAACTCATATAGTGAGTTCGTAAGAGAGTACTATATGATGAACCGCGACGTGACCCTTATAGATCTCACCTATATGCTTATTGCTGCTGAATCAGCAATGGTTTGGCGCAATAGAAAAGCAAAGTTGATTGGTGAATCTGCCTTCGAGACCTCTATGGATATAGACAATGGCAACGAAAGACATGCTATGATTAAAAGATTTATCATAAGAGAAAGGCGATGTCTGAAGTAGTTCCATGTCCTATTCCAAAAAGAGTCAATTTGCTTTTATTGCCAAGAGAAGGGGCATTGGAGACGAAGCTGCCCTATTTACCTAAGAGATCTAAGAGATGGGAGAGTCGAAACGTATGGCTCTAATTTAGGTAAAATCCATTGACTAACTTTTTAAGCTTCATTCTAGATTCTGAATACATAATGTGATAAGATTACAATTGATGTTTAGAAGGATCAAAGAAAAAAAAGAAGCTTAAGGGAAGAAGTGAGCAGAATCTAACCGTGAAGGAATGGATTTCGATCGCGTTTCTCGAAGATTAGATTCTTGAGCTACTACTTAGAGTTAGAATTAGATTGCTAAGAAAGATGTATTAGCATAAGTTTTTCAATGAGTTGCATTGTAAGGACAAATTTTTCCGCAATAAAATAAATTTTGATTTTAAATTTTATTTATTTATCCTTACAATGGCGTGTATGAAAAATTGATGTTAAAATTATTAGCAATAATGGATTTGTTTCTTATTGTGTTATGGAAAGTCAAGAATTTACCAAATAGGGAGAGTTTCTCATCGCCCAAGTTTCAATTGGACAGAAACTTGGAATCATACAACCTGGTTGCACGATGAATGAGAAATTCAATATTTGGAAATTAGACTAATTCATTGACAAAGTGTCAAGTGAAGGACTAGGAGATCGAGTACACAAAGTTGTGTGTTGATCAAGTTCACCATAAGAGTAACAAAGATATTCGTCATGATTTACTAAAGGCTTAGTAATATGATTACACTTACAAGATTAAGTGTAATTTTGAATTGATTAAAGGGTTTAGATCAATAGCAAAACGAATAAGAAGAATCAAGTAGGCAGAAAGATAAGAGTTTCTCCATTCTAAGAAGAAGGGAGAGTAGCTTTTATGCTTTATGATAGGTCTTAATGATTAAGAACCATATCTCAATTGATCCTCTAAGTGAGTCTTGGTACAAGTATGTCCAAGAAGAGGAATCAAAGATTGAAGAAATGGTCAAATCAAGAAGTCAATCATACTTCGTTCCAAAACAAGTCTTAAAGTCAAGATTGTGACATTGAGTGAATAGTTTTAAGAAGGTTTATAACATTCATCAATTGTGGAAAGTTGTGATGTCTTGGATAATACAAAGACCAACTAAGACCAAAATTATGAAGTGTTTTGTTTTGATAAGAGAATCGTATATGTCAAGGAGTCAGTGGGAGTCTTAATAGTCTTGAAAAGTTTCAAGAACAAATCAAATAAACGTTATCGCACTACTAGAAAAAAGGCCTTTTACGACGCTCATTGCGCGTCGTAAAACGCTGAGACGACGCGCAAATGCGCGTCAAGGAAGGCCCTGTCATAAAGAGAGACGACGCGCTTTTGCGCGTCGTCTATAAACGACGCGCATTTACGACGCACGGTTATGACACGCAATGCGTATCAAGGAAGGCCCTGTCATAAAGGAAGACGACACGCATTTGCGTGTCGTAACTTTACGACGCACGTGTTTATAACACGCAATGCATATCAAGGAAGCCTCCGTCAAGAAAGGCCATGTCATAAATGAAGACGACACGCATTTTTGCGTATCGTAATTTTAATTTTTTTTTTTTAAAATATATATTTATATATTTATTAATTTATAAATTAAATTTGCATTTAATCTCTCATAATAGAAATAAAATACCATATACAAAAAATACAATCCATTGCATAATATTAAATAAAATACCATATACAAAAATACAATCCATTACATTTAATCTGTATGTATAACAAAGACACATGTGTTAAACTTGTTACCATTAACATCTAATCGTATGGACTCGAGTGTTAAACTTGTTACCATTAACATTTGATTCATAAGTCCTTTCTACAAGATTGTTACCTGCATAAATGAAAACAAACAGGAACATTAACAACCCAGCTATGACTCTTTTTGTCCCAGAATCTGAATTAAACCACAAGTGATAACATTAGGCATTAGGCATTAGCATCTGGTTTAGCATACAAATGTCTTACCAACAAAGAAAGACAAAGTAGTATAGCATTAGGCATTAGCATCAGTGTTGGTCAAACACTCTGCATCAGTCGAAACTAAGGCAATTAAGACAATCCATAGTAACATTAGAGTTACCCTGCACCAGTCAAAAGTATCCTCTATAAAGGATCAGGTAGAAACTCTATTCTCACGTTCAAGAGGTGAAAAAACTCTTCAAGTTCAGATAAGCATCACAAAAATCTACTTAACTATTTAATTCCCAGCCAAGGGTTAAATACCCCATTAAGAGACCAAAATAATCGGAACCACTGGTACAGTTAAGGATTGCCCTCACAATAAAAGAAACACAAAAACAGGTGCTGCTATGCCCACAATTACTAAGGAGAAATAAAAATAAATTAATAATATTCTAAAGCACAATCGACATTATGCAAATTATAAGTGAAGGCAACAATGTGACATTCAAAAGTATGCTTTCCCATTTATGCTAACACCTTAAATAAACAAACACAGAGGCCTAAGATCATGAAGTTTCAAGGAAGATGCATACCACATGGTAATATGTTTTTCAGCCAAAACCACGTTCTTTGTAAACTATGATCATGAGCCAGTCATTTACTAGTTCTCTATCTTGGATGTCCATATCCTGACAAAGTAAAATAAGATCTCAGTTAAAATGATGAATACAATAATTATGCAACCAGAACCATAGATAAAATTCAGTTTGACAATTGTAAGAATCACCTGTTTTGTTTTGAGAACAAGGGCTTTCCAAAGATGGCTACTAAAGCGGGGGATAAAAGATAAAAGAACCTGACTGCATATAATCAAAAACCAACAATTCAAGAATTATTTGATATGCGTACAGTAGTTAATTAATATGTGTTAGCAATAATTTAATCGGTCAGAGCAAGATTTCTTGAATACAATATGTTACAAACTGTGAAAGAGAAACCCTTTGTCCACTTCCACCATGAAAAGTGGAAAACCAATCATTATATAGCATAGACATCTGGTTTTACAAGAATGAAGTTAATAATGATTAGATTGATAAATTAAGGAGTTAAAAATGAAGAAATATGATGTAATAAGATGAGAAAAATTATTAGGTAACAGGTTAAGAAGATATAAATGCACCATCATCATCCTTGTTGTGTTGGACATAGAATAGGATGCATACCAACCAGCTTGATGAACAACAAATCAAAATAAATAAATTAACTCATTTCTCATTTTCTAATATATCTTAATGTTAAATATAGCATTTACCTAGCACAACTTGATGAAGATCATAAACATCCTTTATGATAAAGTAATATATGAGCAATTATATAATTGTTCTAAGAAATGAACACAATACTTTCTAATTTCAACTTAACATTGATATGGCATAGAAACTTACATTCTCTTGTACCAAATAATTTCTTATTTACTCGTAGTAGCAGTAACTATATCTTCATTTTTTATTTTTTATTTTTTTAAATCCTCACAAGTATTTATAATCATAATCTCTGACTATAACTCTAACCGGGAAGAAGAAGGCTTTTCCCTGGTACTATCTCGCAAGTCAGCTTTCTGGCTAATAAATTATGTGTTGGCGTGATAATATCAACCTCCAAAAGAGAGATAACATCCTCAAGTTCCTCATTGGACTTTGATGAAGCACCAACATTTTCATCTGCAATTTCCATCAGATTATTAGTAAATAAGGAACAACCTAAAAGATTAGATAAAACACTAACCAGATTGTGCAGCATCAAGAAGTTGCTCAAGTTCAAAAATCCAATTAACACGACCAGACAGTTCAATGAACTTTCTATGCAGCTCCAAGATGTCACCAAAGACCAAGAAGCTTTGAGATACAACTGATGCCAAAAACCGCAATGCATGTGCAAGCTCACCTGCTAACAAAAAAAACCCACTCACATCCAAACAAAAAAAATAAAAGCCTACATTTCATTAGGTTCAGGTAATCGATTCACAACTACTAAACTATTTCCAATTGTGGTAAACAAATGTCATGATGAATCGGAATTGAGAATGGGAATTGACCTTGAGTGGAAGTCAATGAACGATCAGCTTTGTGCACTATAGCATATAACAAGCGCAATCCTGAGGTAACATTGTGGGGTAGTTGTTTGGTGACAAAGTCATCCAGTACTCCAAATAACCATTTCTTCCTCAGAAGTATTTTAGCATGAGCAAGAAGCTCATTAAATCTTGACTCAATCATCTGTCAGACAAACCATATTCAAGTATTATTATTATTAATATTATATTCCAAAATTCTCCTTTGTGGAAGGAAATATAAAAAAGGAGGAGAGGAGTTACGGCTTTCTCTCGAGCACCACCTCCAAAGGAAGCAACAGATTCAGCATGTGTACGCAACCTCTCGTGCATGGAGTCAAATACCACCTGGATCAGCATTTCCAGCAATCTGCAGGGCATTTGAGTTGGCAAGGTCTGAATTTGTTGGTGTCACAGCAAGAATTAAACAGTTGGTAGCCTTAATGTATGACACTATCATTGTTCTGATGCCAGAGTTATGTCAAGAACATTAGGAGAGAAAATCTTTAAACGAATTTGCTTGTCAGAAACCAAATATAAGCCTGTGATGATTTTAAAATATTTAAATTAGTCTAATTTCCTATAGTTATTTAAAAGGGGAGAGTGAACAGTTAGACATATGTCTAAATTTGGTCCCTTTAATACATGATTAGTAAGTAACTTAATCTAGTAAGCTATATCAGTTTTCTTTTTGACTTTTTGAGTTAATGCAGAAAGAACATAGGAAACAGAAACATACAGATGCTATGATGTTGACACCACTTTCTTCATCTGGATCTTCCATTAACTTTTTAATGGAGGGAATTTCCTCAAGAATATGAATATAAGTGGTCCCACCACCAGGCACAATACCCTCATCCATGGCTACATACGTGGCATTTTTTGCATCCTCAATTCTTAGCTTTCGATCTTCTAATTCCATCTCAGTGTGGGCCCTTACCTATAACCAAAATTCTTTCAATTCATTCTATATACATTATTTTAGTCATAATTAATAAATAAACTGACCTTGATAATGGCAACACTACCAAAGAGTTTTGCAATTCGTTCATCGAGCTTTTTAGAAGGATAAGAACTATTTGTTTCAGAAAGATCTTTCTTTATTTGTGAAATTCTTGCTTTGATTTCAGCTTTCGTGGATGGATCAGCTACAATAGTTGTGTAATTACTTGTTATAGTTACTTTTTGTGCAATTCCAAGTTGATCAGAAGTTGCATATTCTAGAGATAAACCCAAATCTCCAGATAAAAAATCAGCTCCTATTTTAACATGTTAAATGTCAGCAGAAAAGTGGCATAAAAACAACTCTTCAAAATGTAATATATTAAATATTTAAATTGTTACAGAATTACCTATCATGAGGGAAATATCTTGAAGTAAAGCTTTCTTTTGTTCCCAACACCAGGACATTTCACAATAGCAACCCTAAGTAAACCTTGATTTTTGTTAACAATTAGGGTTTCAAGAACTGAGATTGAGATATCTTCAACAAAAATGAGCAAAGGGACACTTAATTGAGTACAGTTTTCTAGAATGGGACAATTTCTTTCACAGATGATATCTTTTGATATGTTATTAGGACTTTAGCATTTTCAAATTCCAAAGACAAATTGTTCTGATTTGTGACAAAATGAGGAGACATGTATCCTTTGTCGATCTGTAGGGAAAGTATTCCTGAATAGACATTAAAATATGAAAATGAAAAAGATAAAAAGAATGTATGAATAAAATATCACAAGATGTATTTCACTTGATACCTTCATTCCTTCTTCAACAATCACAGAAGTTTCACTTGATGAAGAAGATTCAATAAAAATTATTCCATCATGACCGATTTTATCAATGGCTTCAGCAATTAAGTTTCCAATAAATTCATCATTTCCAGCAGAGATGGAAGCTATTATTGTGAACAGGATGAAAAGAATCTTTACAGTTTAGAGAATCTCATGGAAGAAAACACTAAAAAGAAAAGAAATTTAACTTTTATATCATCTCTTTTGCTGACTGGAATCATTTTCTTTTTCAAAACTTTGATCAATTCTTTGAGACAAACAATTTTGACCAATAAGAACATTGACCACAAATCAAATATATCTTACAGTAAACAGGGGAAGAAAAGAAGCATACTAGCAAAGAATAAGACCAGGACCGAGTCGAGAAGTACTAACCATCGTAGATGTCAAGGAGTGTTGGAGGGATTACGGAGAATTAGATAAGGTCGGCAGAGAAGGAACATTAATAGATGAAGAGGGTGTCAGTGGGATTACGAAGAAGCAGCTCCATCGAGCTCACCCTAGCACCAACTTTGAATGGAGAATGCAAAATCTTGCTTGGAAGGCGACGGGTTACCGACGTACAATAGCGGAATGAAGACAGGGTACTTCCACGATGAAGAAGTCGGCGTTTCAGTTCATCCATCATTATTATTGAGTTGTGAGAGAGATTACACTAAGAAATTGAAAGAGGATGCGATGGAATGATGAGTGGGAATAAACCCTAAAAACGGATCGACAAATTTCCCCCTGAAATTTGGTTTGTTGCGCTGCTCTCATTATCTCCGGATGAGCCGCCAGTGAGAACCCCAGCACCAAAGGACTCTCCGACATCTTCTCTACCACTACTCATCTCAACGTTGACGATGGCAGAGGGTCGGCGATGGTGGAGGGTCGACGACCATGAAAGAGCACATAGCGGTGGCCGGAGTACGAGGGGAGTAGTTGGCGGTCGATGTAGGGAGGGGAAAGATGTATCGTCGATTGTGGGGATAAAGAACAGTGCGTCAAAAAATGCTTAGGGCCAAGAGGGAAAGAGGGAAGGGAAAGCGGGCTTTTCTAATTTTTGGGTTTTCTTTTCCCGCTTGAAACTAAACAACCCGCGTTTCATTAAAAAATATAAAACAACATGTCTAGATGACGCACATTTTATAATATGCGCCCTCCGTGTTTTTTTTCTGACACTAATTTTAGGGTACGCAAAAATGCGCGTCGGAAATCCTTAAAATTTTTAAAGAGCTGACATTATTTTTAGGTTACCCACGTTTGCGTATCATAAATCAATGCGTATCATAAATTGCGCGTCGTAAAAGGTTGTTTTTCTAGTAGTGTCGATTATCACTAGCACACGAGTTGAGGTTTACAACCTATCGTGAAGACATTATTTTGTTTCTATGCCAATCCAATCGAGTTAATTATGCATGTGAGTCCTATGAGTTCTCATTTGAATGCATAAAAGGCAAGGACCTTGATCAATGGAAAGTACATTGATAGGAAAAGGTGAGCAGCTTAACTACTTGGAAGACGTGGTGGGCAGCTGTGCTACCATAAGGCAAGAAATCAAGATTAAGAAAGTTCGATCCATATGAGTTTGAATTTTTCGTAAACTTTGGTTTTTAACAAATTCACATGGATAGGAACACATCACCGTTTAAATCTAAGTGTCATAAGATTTCCTCCTTCATGAAAATGATTGTGAGAAAATGATTTCACTAAGAAAGATTTTAAAAGATAGTGATTGTAAAATTGCATTCTCGAATTCGATCATGGTTACGGCATCCCTTTCCATAATTTGAATTGTGAGGTTTGGCAATTAGTCTTAATTGTTAAGACACACATATGAACTATCTAAGGCAAAAGTGTATAAGTTCAAGAAGCCTTGATAAAAGATTATCAAAGCACTAAGTATTAGAAACATGAACTTAAGAAATTCAATAAGTATTTTTTTTCTGAAAGTTAAGATGTTTATGAATACATGTCGAAGCTAGTGGGAGCATAAGTGTTATGTTTTATAATAATCATCATGATAGTGGGAGCATAAAAGTTATGATTGTATGATTATTATGGAAAGTTTTGCAAGTTGGCAATATTAATTATAGAAAACAAGAGTTATACCTTGCAAAGTCGTAAGGGTTGTATAGTTGTTTTGCTATAATTAAGGGAGAAAACATTATGCTTCATTTCAAATCTAAAGGATTAGGTTGTGGAATGTTAATAAATTTAGTCAAAGGTACATAGTGTGTTCTTAAAATTTCGATTATGATTACGGCATTCCTCTTCATAATTCGAATTTTGAGAACATAGAAAATAAAACATTGTGCGTCATGTCCCATACTCTTCGAGTATAGGATCGATTGCAAATGCTTTAATGTTTGACCATTCTAAAATTTTCCAAATGTCCAGCGCATTTAGAGGGAAAAGGGACTAGAATTGGTTGACTAAAATAATTAAACAACTATCAAAGGACGATTCGAAGTTCGACGATAATTGGTCGCTTGTGAGTAGTTGAAAGTATAGTATTGGAAATTATGGAAATGTTTCCATATTGGATGGACAACATCGACATCATTATGAATAGATAAGATTCTATTAAGAAATTAGTTGTCATATGGAAAATATGGAAGCGTGTCCATATTGGGAAGTAAATATTGAAAATCTATGACTAGATTAGAAACCTTTATGCAAAAGGATGTTCAAAGGAATGTACTTTGAGTGAGAGACATCATATCTAAGGAATTGTCTTGTAACAATCTACGTTAGAGGACTTTGTAATATCATTGGCAATAGTCTTTGAGACTTTGGTGCAGTGACATTACAAAAGGATCGTTGCATAAAGTGTTAGAATCTAGTATATTCTATAAGTAACAAGAATTTGATATTCTTACACTTAAGAAAATGGATTTGGAGTTGTAAAATGAGAATGATTGGAAATGTGTTCAATTTGTCTATTTCACAAAGTAAGAACCATAGGTAAACATTGTGTGCATGCTAGGAGCATGGGACAAGTGTAATAATTCAAGTAAGAAGTTGATTACCCGAAACGACAAATAATGAGTAATCGATATGGTGATAAATAAAACGTGTTTTGTTTATACTCAAAGGTTTGAGGCCATATGGGATTAGTATTATTCTTGTGTTTCACCTTGCATGTTTTGACTTCCAGAATAATTGAGTTTATCGAATTATTCGAACGGGCCACAGTCGTTCATATGTTGGAAGTAGATATGAATGAAGATTGTCGTGAATTGGTGTGTGGATTGTCTAAAAGAGTATTAGACATATGCAAATGTTTGCTGCAACGTTCATGAGTGCTTATGAATATGATTTGAGCATTGGATTAATCCCACGCTCACTTGGATCACTCCATGGATTATATCACGAGTGATTAGTGAGACAATAATATCTTATATTCTTGAAACCGAGATGTGTGAGTTGTATCTTGCGAATCGGTTGCACATTGATAATATGTAAACGCACTAGTAACTTGGTGTTATAAAACATATTGTTTTGTGTGATTTGGTTAGTGAGTGCAAGCAAGCATTGTATCAAAGTTTATCCGTTCCTTTTATCCAAGGTAGGATAAAAGCGATATCTTTGGGCCCCTCGATGGTTTAGTGATGACAAACGTAAATGCTCGGCCGGGCTAGGGCTAATTTGATTTGTTCAGTTAGTCTGTCTTCATAAATCATAAATCGAGAAGTAGTACAAAGAGAATGATTAGAAATCATATCTCAGACGATATCAATAATGGAGGAATATATGATCCCTTATCTAAGGACACGCGTATCTGATGTGATCAGAGTTGACAGCGGCTTTGGAAAGCTACAATTGCAGATCAAGATCTAAAGTCATATGCAGAATAGTTGTTAGACTTATCCAAGTGGGAGACTGTTGGATTAGTGTCTAAGTCCATAACTATTTTGGTATGTACTTGACCCGATGGTGCATGGTCCTTTTGGGTTGCCTTCACCAAAGCAACTTGATAGGATGAATTATGGAGAGTAAGGATTAAATATGATTTATTAATGTATTATGAGAATAATATATTAAAGGAGAAATCATATTGTTTAATTAATATTAGTCAATAATTAATTGGTAATTAGTTTTGTGACTAAAAGAGATTAATTAAACTTAAGGGACTGGAATTGTAATTATAAGATAATTATGATTTGGGCCATGGATTGCCTTATATTAAGGGATGGACGAATTCTAATGGGAAACCCATAAGGAAATCGTCCATGGGCTTAATTAAAGGAGTCTATGGGTTGCTTAGGGCTTAAGCATTCATATTAGGGTTTCCTTGTTAGATAACCCTAATAGCCCAACTATATAAAGATCCCTTAAGGCTCAAAAACGTGGCTAAGTTTCTTGTAAGGGTTTACGCACGTTTTTGGCAGCCTCCAACCTCTCTCCTCTTCATCCTCTTGCTTATGGTGTTTGTGAGCCATTAGAGGAGTGACACTTGTGACTCTAAGCCTTCCAAAGTCAATTCAAGGAGGAATTGGGATTGTTATTGCTACATAACAATCAAGGTATGATCTTAAACCTAATTACATATTAATATGATTACTTGTATGCTAGAATTAGGGTTTATAGTCTTGGATTCAAAGCATGTACAATAGAGAAACCTAGATCCGAGCATTAGGGTTTGTATGAGCACATAGGATGTCTTATGACCAAAACCCATCAAATACAACTAATAAAAATAACATATACATTCCGAAAAAAATTGTGCTTTGACTGTATATCCGGTTATCAACTTGGTAGTCTAATTATACCTCATACATACACAAAAATATATAAGTTTATATATTTATACGAGTTATAGAGCTCGTATCTTAGGCTCGTTTATGTGCTTGTACTCAAAGTTTTATCAACTATTTAAACAAGTATCGTACACTTTACGTGTATGCTTATCAAATATACTTGTTGTTTATCTGTTTATCCGTATATGTGGTTGTTAAGTTCAACCTTGGCCAATAACTTTATCTGTATGTCTGTTTATCACATAAATATATAGGTTTATACATTTATACAAATTATAGAACTTGTATCTTAGGCTCATACATGTGTTTGTGTACAACATACTATGTTTTGTCAACTGTTTAAACAAGTATTGTATATTTTTATGTGTACACTTACCAAAGATACTTCTTGTTTATCTGTTTATCCGTGTCTGCGGTTGTTAAGATCAACCTTTGTAGATAACTTTATCCGTATATATGTATGTCTGTTTATCCGTATCTACAGTTGTTAAGTACAACCTTGGCAGAAAACTTTATTCGTTACCCATACAACCATGGACTTGGTTGCTTTAAAAACGGTTTTTTAAGTATGGAATTACTTATGGAACATAACGTTTTGGCTTTCAAAGATTCATTACAAACACACTTTCACGTATAGGTTTAGTTATACAAACTATACATTTTGGCTTTTAAAGACTCATTGCAAACATTGTTTTAACTATTTTTATACATACAAAGAAAATACTTTTTAGACTTTTTAAAAGTATTACTATGGTTAGCAGAAAACCTGTGACACTCACCAACCTTTGTGTTGACTTTCAAACTTACATGTATTCTTATGGGATCATTAGACAGGCTTTCAGATAGAAGATTAGTCATGGATTGCAGACAACCTAGCTAGCTT